TTTTTTGTTTGTTTCAGTTGTTTTTTTATCTTTCTTGAAATAATAAAGCACAATATGTCAAAATTGTTGCATATTTTCTTCCGTCTTGACAATTAAAATGGCTACACAAAAAAAAATCACCAATTTTGATAAATTTTTTAAATGTGTGCTGATATGGCAGCTATCAAAATAAAATCTACTAGAATTGTTTTTGAATAAAATTAAAGACAACTGAGTGCTACTAGTGCCATCTTACAGAACAAAAACCAAACAAACTTTTTGGCCAACGCAATAGTGTGGTCAGCAATAGTTAGACTCTTGCCAGCAAAGCATTGTATATGTGCTGCTTGTATAGAGTGCCAGAGTTCCTCCTGGGACAGTCCCCACCATTCAGAGGGCCATCAAGTGATATCTTTGGATCATCAGGGGCACATGGATTCTGTTTTCTTGGAGAAACAATGCAATACCCGATGGTCCTGGGTAATTAACATTTGGATAAAATGTCTAGCTTTCAGGAACCCTAAGCTTCTGGGTAGAACACAGGAATGTTGAGACAAAATAATTGACACCAAACATCCAGTACCAAGGAAAATTGAGTCAGGAAGGGCTCAACATATAAGAAATAGCCTCTGATGTGCTAAGTCTGCTCTGTTCATTGGGCAAAGATAAAGAATCACGTTAGCTGGTTGACCATGCTGAAAAGGCCAAGCCTCTCTGCAGAAACAGGAGACACAAGGGAAAGTGAACTTACTTATACCTGCTGTTTTCACTCTTCCCACTGTACCTGGCTATTTATACATTTTACCTCATTTAATTCTCTTTACCTCAGAGGTGGGTGCTGTTATTACCCCTGTTTTATAGTTGAGGAAATAAGACCCAGAGTAAGTGATGGGACTAAGACACAAATCCATCTTCCTATTGTCGTCTCTCTACTCCTTTGATTGTTAAGTTGATCTGATGCCCAGTCAAGAAGTGTGAGTATAAAGGACCATGCCTGGCTGTGTTCTTGTGGGGAGTGGGTGGCTGGATAGAGGCTGGGCAGGGGCAGATCCTAAAATATTGATAATGCCCAGTGTTGCACATTATGTGCATAGGCATAGGATGCTACATGGGCAAGAATGAGGCCACAGAACCTGATCTTGTGTAAAGGAGAAAGATGTCTCTGGAAGCCAGCCAGAGGGAGGATGAGGTACCCCAGATCGAGGAAATAGTTATGGCAGTTCTCAGAAGCAAAAGAGATCCCAGAGGCTGTAAGAAGTTCAGTCCTCCTGGAGGATAGAATGCAGGGTGGAGCTGAGAGGAGCCCACCCAGATCTTGTGTGCCTTAATGAGCTTGGCTTCATATTGTTCCGGAGGCAACAGGGAGCAAGTGAAGAGCATAAGCAATGAAACTTTTTAAGAAGTGTTTAAAGCAAAACGAGTGCTGGGATTTTGGCTTTGGTGAAATGGATGTGGGTGTCACTCACAGGGAGAGAGAACACAGGTGTAGTATGTTTGTTATTTGAGGTGTGAGCTTTCCTGGTGATGTCAAGTGACATTGAACTTGAAGTCGATTTTTCCACACAGTGCCTTTATGAAAATTCTCATCACATTAAATATTTGAAGGGCCAGTATCATCTGTTTCTGGAAAGTAAAACAACAACAACAACAACAACAACAACAACAACCTTGATCATCTTTTGTGCTTAAGATGCAATTTATATTTTATTCTTTCTTTTCTAGACTGAATACAGAGTTAACAAGCTGAAGTCTAATGAACTCTTTGTTGAGGCCAGTGAATTACCCCTTGGGCCTGCTCAGTGACTCCCATTTGTGGCTCAACACTGTGAAATTGATGAGATCTGCACTTTTGCTCACTAATAGTTTCACTTTTATTTTCAAATATCCACTAACTTTTCCAAAATAATAAAGGGAAATAATGAAACTGAGAGGAATTTGGTGACTGCCTCATAACTTGCCTTCAGCTCCTAGGTAGCTGGCTACTTCTTCTGCAGGGTTGTCCCAAGTTACCTATGAGTTGGATGCACTTTCATGTGTTTGCATAAAGCAGCACCCACCTGTGCTGCATCCCTCACACTTTACCGCAACTGCTCATTCAACGCATTAAAGATTACCTTTCCGCCAATGGCAGGAACCCATGAGTTTCTTCTTGATTGCAAAACTTGACAGAGTTCAATCTGTTTGGAATGAGTAAATCCTCAACTCCATGAAGTACATATTGTCCCCATTTTGAAGATGCGAAGATAAGCTTGGATAGGTTATTTGCTTAAGGTCAAATACTGGTAAATGGTTAGAATCAGGACTGAACCCAGCCCCTCTAACCTTGAAAGTCAGTACTGTAGCCATCCTTATTACCTTTGACTACAAGTGACTGCTTTGATGAGTACTTTTTAACTAATTTGATTCTACCTTAAAACAAACAAAACAATCTCACCAATGTAAGGTGTATTTGTGGCAAGTTCAGCATCTCCTGCTGGACACCTGTGATGTTTACACGAGACAATATCGAGGACACCTGGGAACAGTCCCACTGAATCTCTGCACTGGAGCTCACTGCTTCAGCCTGTGATCCAGATGCTAAGTGACATCACTGAGAAGGTACATCAGTTGTATGGTCCATGTGCAGAACCTATAAAGGATTTGGGGGCATTTAGTAATTCTCCTGAGTCGAGGCGGATTAGAAAAAAGAGTAGGCATCAACCAGGAAGGGCTGTGGCTCAGGCTCTCCATGTGGCTCACACCCTCATCTACTTTAGTCTTTGTTCCAATGGGTTCCTCTGAGGGAGGCTGTCCCTGATCACTGCACTGTACCTTAGCATCCACTGTTCCCTTCTCTGCTTTGTTCTTCTCCACACTTATGTCCATCTAATTAATTCATTTTGCTGAAGATATTTGTCTTGTTTATTCAGTTCTTCCCACCAGAACGTAAGTTCAACTAGAGCAAGGATATGCATCTGTTTTGTTCTCTGCCATTCCTTCACTGCCTGGAACAGTGCCTGAGACATAGTGGGTCCTCAGTAAATATTTACTAACTGAGCTGTGTCATCACACTGTCAGTAATACCTTGAGAGTCACCCATAAGTAAAAGGGCATTGACAGTAACAGTAACGAGTAAGAGGATGACTCCTTCCTGCCTGGTGGGTGAGAAAATCTGTTGGATTTAATTTCAAATGATATCAGAGTGTCTCAGTCCATTTGGTCTGCTATAACAAACTATCACAAGCTGGATGGCTTATAAACAACAGAAATTATTTCTCACAGTTGGAGGCAAGAAGTCTGAGCTCTAGGCACTGGTAGATTTGGTGTCTGGCCAGGGAGAGCTTCTGGCTCACACATGGCCATCTTTCTCCTACAACCTCACATGGTGGAGGAGCAAGAGGAATTTTTCAGGCCTCTTGTAAAAGGCCACTAATTCCGTTAATCACCCTCTAAATGTCCTGCCTCCTACTCCCATCATTTTAGGGGTTAGGATCTTGAGATGTAAATTTTGTGGGAGACTCATTTAAATCATAGCACCCAGAGTGTTCTGACATACCATCTAAAACCTGTGAACAAAAGGCAAGCTAATGGTTGGAGATCTTTGCTCTCTTCACAAAGAAAACCCAATTCTGAGTTGCTGTAGGATACCTGTGCCCCTGTCCTGTTTGTATAGTCTGTCCTGTCCATTTGCCTAATTTCCAAAGGGTGCCATAGAAAATTTCCTTGAAAAAGTTAAAATAATACAATTTTGAATACTTAAAAGGCTAACATTATGCTATGCAGATAACTGGATTTTTAAAACTCTTTTGAACAGCTGAAACTTTTTTTGTACTTTTGATATGTTATGGATCAAAAATTCCCTGGCCAGGGCAGGGACACCAGATATTATTTAAAATTTGTACTGAGGCTGAATCATCTTGACCACATCTTTAATTTCACAATTTCACTTGTAGGGTTAGGAAGGTGGACTAAATAGATTTTAAAATAGGCTTCGATTTCCAAATTTGCATGAGTCAAAAAGTCTGTGTTAAATGGATGTTAGGGGTTCTTTGTATTCCCCTTTGGGAATGGTCTGTGCTGCCTTGTGGGTAGTGTGGTTTAGTGGATAGATAGGCAGCCTCAGAAGTAATATGTTTATTGATTCACATTCTTCATCTGACGTGCTTTCCTCTGACAGGCAATTTATGTAATTACTTCAAGATCTTTGGCAAGCATGCCTTCCTGTGAGCTGGAGAGGACACAGTATTTTGTTATGGTTGAGAAGAGATTTGTGTTGCTGCCATGTTTGTTAAAAGATCTCAGCTGAGCTTATTATCTGAGGTGAGAACAGCATCTGGAAGTTCTTTTTCTACTTTGGGATAGAAATCACACCTCTCTGCTTGTTAGAACCAGCTCAGTTGCTCAAAAACAAATTCCAAGAGATGCCGTCAGTGCCATCTTGATAAAGAGAAGGCATTTGCCTTTGTTCCTGGTTGTCGTGAAGTTGAGTTGTACTGCAGTTCAAAATGTAATTCAAGAATGATACCTTTGGAAGCCTAGGAGCAGGGAGTGGCTCAGCCCAAGAGCATTCCTTCCTTTTACCAGTTCTCCAGGAGTCCTGTTTAGCAGGGTGTTCATACTCTTCTGCAAGTCCAGTGTGGGGAGTGCATTGTATAGGTGGGAGAGGGTCTGCACAGAGCTGGTTCACCCTAGAGTACCTGTGCCTGTGGTAAGCTATACTGTAAAAAAAAAAAAAAAAAAAAAAAAAAAAAGGAATAGGTTATAATTTCCTTTGTTACTAGATTTTACAGATGCAGATGAGATGCAACTCTAGACGTGATTTGTCTGTTGGTACAACTGTTGAAACTTGCTTTCTATTCAGGTCCTGAAAAGTAATTTAAATCCAAAGAACAAGCAAACATTCAGTCCTCAAATTAATAATTAATCACAAAGAACAAAATAGACACCATCATTTCCCAGCCCTCCAGAAGCTGAATGCAGTTTTCCTGGAAGCCTTCTGTCACTTTGAGCCTGGGATGAACCAGAGTCTTCTCTGGCCAGGTACCTCTGGGTTGGAAAGTGAGGGCCCTGGACCACCCATCCTCTGGTGGAAAAAGCACTCCAAGCTTTAACCTTCACTGCTACCTTATTCTTGGCAGGTAATAAGAATGAGGACTGGGCACTGTTTTATGTGCTTTACATATTTTCTCATTTATTCTTCACAATTATTGTAGGGTAGGGGCTGGGCACCATGATTTTACAACCAGGGAACTGAGTAAAACAACTCTCCTAAGGTTAAGAAGCTAGAATTTTAATCCAGGCTCTCAGATTCAAGAGCTTGGGTACTTTACCTTTATACACTAGCATGCCTCCCATAATTACATTCAAATAGGCAGATGTTTTCTAACTTTTTTTTTTTTTTTTTTTTGGATACAGACTCCTTTATTCAAGTTGAGTCCTGGCCAAAGCATAAAAAAAAAATGCAGATAGAAATAGAGGTGTGTGACTGAAGTAGACTGGAGGTGGTTCACGTCTGAAGCTTTGAATCTTTCCTCCACTTTAAATAACTCTATAGTTCCCAGGACTCCTAAGGACACAGTCCTCTTGTGATTTGATCCTCATCACAAGAGAGGAATACAAAGAACCCCCAAAAGCCTCAATTTTTCTTTCCTCTACACAGTGATTTTCAACTGGTGTGCTGCAAGAATTTTTAAAACATGAAATACTTGACTATTTAGTCAGGGGCACTGACCTCTTTTCCCTGTCAAATAAAAAGATGCCAACACAGCAATAGTTATCTGGTGTGAACGCTCTGTCCTCTCCTGTCCTGAACCATAAATATATAGGTCATATAATACAGTTGCATCTTATTGGTCATGTTGCATAATAATTCTTGGTACCAGAAATCCTTATATACAAACATAGGCACCTGATTTTTTAAAAAGTCATTTTGGAGCAAAAAAGGTAGGTAATTACTATTTCTATTTGTTTTTGTAAGTCAATCAAAATTATACCTATTTTTTTGTCAGATTTGTAAAAATATCTATTTTTGGTGTGCTGCAGAATTTTAGTAATTAGTTTATGTGTGCTATGAGATGCAAAATGTTGAAAATGGCTGGTCTAGTAAATCAGCATTATTAAATAGTCAATCCTCATTATTCATGGATTCTGTATTTGAGAGTTCACCAACTTGCTAAAATTTATTTGTAACCCCTAAATCAATATTCTGGGCTTTCACAGTCATTTTTGAATTCACAGAACAATGAGTCACCTTATGCTTGAGTCACCTCATGCCATGTTCCCAATTGAGATGGCACAAGGTATTGCTCTGCCTCCCTACTTCAGTTTTCATATTGTGAACAAACTTTTTAAAAACCTCTTTAGTGTCACGTTTTTCAAAATTTTTGTTCTCTTTCTTGGTGATTTCACTGTTTAAAATGACCTCTATGCATGGTGTTGGAGTGTTGTCTAGTGTCATACGTACAAGAAAGCTGTGATGTGCCTCACAGAAAAAACACGTGTGTCAGGTTAGCTTCATTCAGGCATGAGTTATAGTGCTGTAAGACATGAGTTCAATGCTAATGACATAACTATATTAAATCTATTTTAATATATATAAAATATATAAAATAAGATGTCTTTAAATAGAAAAACACATAAACCTTGCTTTATGTGTTTTTCTATTTAAAGACATTATATATTTTATATATATTATACATATATATTATGTATATATGTATATTATGTATATATGTTATATATATTCATTTATATATATATATAAATATATATATATATAAATGATATATATATATATATATAAAATGGGTTTTTTTTTTTGATTGGATAACAAAAATGTGACCAGATGCTAATAGTTACCTAACTCTGCCTTTCCCCCAGGAATTGTTAGTATTCATTAATTCTGTGTTTGTGGCAAATTTATAGAATGTAACTACCACAAATAATGAGAATTGACTGCAGTTATCATTTATTGAGAGGCTCTTAAAGGCCAAATAATGTATTAGAAGTTCATTTAAGTTAATCCTAATTCTCAATAACCCTATAAATGAAGTATAATTATCTGCAATTTATGGGTGGTAAAACTGAGGCCTAAATAATTTGCCAATGTCACTAAGCTAGAGGGGATAATGCCTAGGCTGAATAGCAAACAGCGGTTGTTCTCTTTCCTTTTTGCTAAGTTCATTTTATGAACTAATCCTAGTTGATCATCATGCACAATTTTGCCATATCCATTGGGTTGAGCACAATACTCCCCAAATATTTTATTCACTCAACAGACACACACATGGGAAATTCTCCATTGATTCAGGATACTTTTATACAGACAGTGCCACATGTTTGATATTTTAGCCCCTTCTTTCTCTCTCTTCTCTTCCACACCCATCAGGCTTCTGGCAGCCACTGGGGTGAGGATGTCAGGCCAAGTAAAAATGTCTGCTAGCATGAAGAGAGGGCAAAAAAGAGGAAAAGGACAAAAGACAAAGAATGAGGATAAGGTGGACTTAGAGAAGAAAGAGCAAAAGTGATAAAGATGTGAAGGGAATAGGTAGCCCTATCTGTTCATAAAATGCAGGGAAGCAAAGAGAAAGACCAAGGATATGAATGCACAGAAGCAGACCCTGAGATGCACCAGTCACGGACACTTGTGTAGTTTTTTTTATTTGAAATCATTTTCATTTCTGTGATCTCATTTTCCATATCACAACATTCCTGCATAGGTGAAGGCACATTTTTTTTTCTACTTTACTGATGAGAAAACCAAAATATGAAAAGCTCTAGTGATTTACTCCAGGTCACAAAATTATTTACTCCACATTAAAAACAGGCTATTTATATCACACAGCAAAATTCAATAATTCTTTCCTAGTATATTAATTTTTAAGCCAACAGCATGAATAGTCTATTAGGCAGCAAAGATATTTTCCTTTATTTTATTCTTGAACCATGTGACTATTTCGATATTTTTGCTTAGCTACAACTTCTCTAGATTTTATTATGCATGCATGTTGAAACAAATAACATATAACAAAACTGTTATTCTTTTTAAAGGATTCAAAATGTTTTCAATGGGTGGAAACATGTCACGTGAATAAAGATGAAAGTGACTTTGTTGTCTTCTGCGAATCTTTGTAAAGATATTACTAAAGTCAAAAATAGATTAGAAATGAAGAAAAGACAGGAATATAAAAAAATAGCTTGGAAAATTGAAATAATTTCTTTTAATCATTTCTACCCTGATGATAGATCCCCAGGCTTGAAGGACAGGTTCTTTCCAGATATAAGGGTAACAGCCACAATAGGATTTTGATGCAACTGTGATTGATGTCAGCTGGCCCAGACAGTGATATTTTATTCCAAATCTAACATTTATGAAAGTGATTCATTAGTAGAAGCCCTGGGGTAAATGGGGCTGAGAGCTATAAAAGGAAAACACAATCCCTGAAGGTTTCTTGGGCCAGTTAGGGATTGAAATTCCATTGATGTGAGTTGCTGTTACACACCCACTGCATGTAAGGTGCTGTCAGTGCTATCATGTCATGTTTGCATCTACAAACTATGAGTAGAACAGCATAGGGCATAGTGATTCTCCCTGCTGCAAGAAGAGGATATCTGCAGAGATTCAGGGGCTTCCCTAGTGACCAGGTGGTGGCCCCAACTTTGCATCCAGGCCTTCTTTCTCTGAGTGAAGAGCTCCTGTCACTAACACAGACAAGAAACAGCTAAAGAATAACTGAATCACAGCCTAAAGCTGGGACACAAGTCCAAGGTGCAGATGCATTGAATGGTACAAGAATTGAGAATGAGGACAAGAGCCTTTCAGGTTATAATGGGTTATGCTTCATAGAAAAGACAAAATGTGAACATTTTACGGTTTCTTTAACAAGTGAAGTGGTATGGAAATGGTCTATAGGAGAAAACATCTTTATTTCATAAAGAATTTACTTGGCTAGTTAACAAAACTTTTCTTTCTTGGGCTAAATGTAGTCACTTCTATCATATATTCTGGTCTCTGTCTCTCCTGGCAGAGACATGTGAGCACTGCCAGGAGCTGGGAATATCCCAGGAGGGTAAGAATAGCCCACAATGAGAGATGACTCCTGCTGTCTTCTGGTGATTGCAGTTGTCAGAAACACATTGCCTTAGAGGAGAATAGCTTAGGGGCGTCTCAACTCAGAGAGAGAAAGACTGACCTCTTGCTCCTGGGCTCAGTTCTTTCCTTTCATATTTCCAGCTCTCATTCTTAAGCCTCTTGTAGCTAATATACATTTATTTCTGCAAAGATTTTCCACCTCCTTGGAGATCACAGGCTTCGGAAGTCTCCAGCAGCCTTGAGTCTGTGACATTCTGGAAGCATGGATCGTTGGGACTTGCTAGGGTTCCTCATTATCACATTAAACTGCAATGTGACCATTGTGGGTGAGTAGAGGAGACACCCTCAAAGCTCGTCTTCTTCTTTTTTTTTTTTTAATTGGTTTGCCTTGTCTACCCTCAAGACAAAGGCCTACATACTGCTGGAGTGAAGGGGGCTATGGGTTCAAGCTTCTGCCATGGTTCCAACAATCATTTATGAAAGTCTGGGTGTGAGTGTTGTTTCTCTCCTGGGGCCCCTTCTTGCTGACATTCTGATGTTGAGTCTGAAGACTGAAGCAGGTGGAAGGGATATTTTTGTGTAATTGCCTTACCAGAAAAAGAAACAATACAGTAAAAGAGAAATTGATGCCTCAATTATGCTTTCTTCTTGTTAATCTTTTTAGAGTTCAATCTTGAAACTTAATTTATCAAAATTAGCAATTTCTCTTGTTCTTTAAACCAAATGCCATTTTAGTTTAGTTATTTTTTTTAACAAAGAAAGTGATAAGGATTTCTCAGCTTGGTGCAGATAAGGCAATTTTTAGAGAAATATGGGTGTCCTAGAAACAGAAATTGAGACAAGGATTAGTCACTGATATTTTCCTTACTCATTATTTTGTAGAACTTAAACAAAATCAACTTGGTCTTTAAAAATTTGAGTCAATAAATTCATCATGTAATAATATTCTTTAACTGCCTTCATTAATAATAGAGTTTTGTTTTTCTGCTCTCAGGTGATGTTTTCTGTATCTTATCACAAAACAAAATATTTACAAATTATTTTGTCTTAGTCTTAAACATGTTCTGAAATAGTTTATTCATGATATGAAAAGAAGGCTTTTGAAGCTATTTTGAATCCCCAGGTTGGCCATAATTATTCATGATAAATTGAAAAAAGACAAAGCTCATTAATTCATAAAAGTTGAAATAACGGTAAAGGGATTCTGAATTATTGAAAAATCTGAAAAATTGAATGTTCTTAAAGAAATTTGATTCCAAGGGCCATAAAGCAACATTAAATACAAGCACTATTATTAAATGATGTTCTTGCAAACCATTAACATAAATAAAGACTTACTGAAATTAACAGTTGTATTTCTATACACATTACAAGAATGTATTAACACCCTTTAAGAAGCTTAATCTCCTAATCTTTCTTTCTAGACTTTCAGTCCAGGAGACATTAACAAAAGCCTGAACTACCAGAGTCAAACATTTTTAGTACTTATGCTTCTTTAAAGTCTGCTAATCTTAAAGCATTTTACAAACAGGTAGTTCAGTGTCTGACACGTTAAGTGCTTGATAAATATCACATGGGCTAACTCGCTGATACTGTTGCTATGACTGAAACACATGCTTGTGGATCTCACACTTCACTCTCAGCTCCAGTACACACTTAAACATTGTTGTTAGTGGGTTTGCATTGTGGTGCCCATCCTGCCTCTTCTTTTCCAGGGAAGATCTGGCTCATCTTCATGATCCTGCTGAGGATGGTGGTCGTCATTGTGGCCGGGTCTCCTGTCTACCAGGACGAGCAGGAGCGGTTTGTGTGCAACACACTGCAGCCAGGGTGCGCCAATGTCTGTTATGACCTCTTCTCCCCCGTGTCCCACCTGCGCTTCTGGATGGTCCAAAGCGTTTCTACTCTTCTCCCTTCCGCAGTTTTCAGTGTTTATGTGCTGCACAAAGTATCTGAGCTCGCCGTCTGGGGCCCCTGCGGGCCAGCTGGCAGGCCCGAGGGCCAGGACCATGCTGACCTGAACCGTGAGGATCCGCACTGCTCACTAACCTGCAGGGAGGGGCGCAGCCTGGTGGTGCCAGATTTTTCCTTGGGCTATATTGTGCAGCTCTGCCTGCGGACTCTGGCGGAAGTAGCTTTCGGGGCCTTGCATTACCTCCTCTTTGGATTCTCGGTCCCCAAAAGGTTCTCCTGTGCCCACGCTCCCTGCTCTGGCGCGGTGGACTGCTACGTCTCTCGGCCCACGGAGAAGTCCACTTTGATGCTCTACCTCTGGGCACTCAGCGCTCTCTCGGTGCTGCTCAGCGTGGCCGACTTGCTCTGTAGTCTGCGCAGGAGAAGATGCAGGTGGCCGGGCTCCGCCGGGGGCCACCGGGGGTCGGGGGAGGAAAGGGAGACTCTCGCGCACTCTGGCCCGTGGACCGGAGGGCGCGGTGACCACAGCCCCAGTGGTCAGTCCGCTGTGTCGGGGCGAACGGAGCTCCCAGATGAGGATGAGACTGAGGGACTGTCCTTAGCCAGCAACAAGCTGCCCAAGGCTTTCATAGAGTCTGGGGGCAGGGCCCGCACGGAGGCCCCTCAGGACCCCAGAAGGGAGCATACTTTAATTCCCGGCAGGCTGCTGGCCAGGCCCTGCCTGTCCAGTCCGCGGCAACCCCCTGTCCTCCGGGCAGGCGCTGGGAGCGCCCCTCTCCCGGGGACCAGAAGGTCCGAGTGGGTGTGAAGAGGATGGCTGGGCAGCGCAGTGCCTGAGAGGAGACGCGAACCGAAAGGTGCAGCATCACCTTGGCACGTGGGAAACTTTAACGTTCCAGGAGAATATCAGCAAGCAGGAAGGCCAGCTGGCCTGTGACAAGTGTATTCGGACTGAAATCTTCAGAGATTAATTGGACAGGTTACCTACTGATCACACCATACTCTTGACTGGTCTATTGTCTTATTCTTTACCATGATATATGCTTTATGTAAAGCATGTTCCTTGCATTAATAGAGCTCATTACTGTTTTAACGTTTTCTGGTGAATTATTATGAGGGTTCTTTTTGTTTGCTTTTTCTGCTTGGATAAACAGGTATATCATGCATGCCATCAATAGAATCAATAGAGAGACATTAACTTCTCCAAAGCCGTTTAATAAAATTAATGCTGATTGTGATATCCCACTTCATACTTCATTGTGTTATAGGAGAAATGACAAATGCAGAAAATATGACTGGTAAATGCTTATGGTCTTTCAGGTGTCTTTGATGGCTATTGCATGTGGGTGGAGGGTACACAGGCCACAGGTGGACCCTGACTTGCCTGTTGTCTGAGTATATCTCTGAGTAGTTGACTTCACTGAGTAAAGGGAGGTAAGTGGCCCTAGAGCTGTCCCATGCTTTCCAGTCTGGGTTTTGGCTGTGCCCTTGAGAGAGTTGTACAGTTCAGATTGCCCTGAGAGACTTCACATTCCAGTGGAGAGGAGGAGAAACTCCAGGAATGCAGTGGTTTCACAGTCCAAGCTCCTGCTTTCTATGTATGCAATGGAAACAGACAGCTGCCATTGCTCTGGAAATGGGCCTTGACAGCTCCTCATTGCACTTCTCTGCATTGTTCTGCTTTGCAGGACTCTGTTAGAGCTTTAGTGCTGCCTTTAACTGCTGGATGGGAGGACACAGTGCAGAAGGAAGAGCTACTGTGAGACACAACACACCTGCTCATCTGCAGCAAGAGTGGAGGAAGAACCATCTGGTATAGTTCCAAAATTGATGAATATCCTCTGGTCCCCAAACACAAAATGGCTGAGAAAGATGAATTTCCCTCAACCATTCAAATAATAAAAAAGGCGAACAAATGTACTCATGAAACCAAAGGACACTTTTAACTGTTTAAAGAAGACTTTGACCATGAAATATCTGCTAAAATGGAGAATAATATCCTACTTGGTATATCCACAAGATGTCAAAGCAATTGGTTAAAACTTAAAAAATCATCCAAAATTGGTTTTGGCATAAAGCTATTTGAATAAATGTGCCTATATTTAACATGCAGCAACTCATTGAAATCTGTAAGCCATGACTCAGACCTCTTTCTTCAATACTTAGGTCAATTTCTGCACATAGCAAATAAATGTGATTTTTGAGTCTAATATTCCTAAACTATTTGGCATTCGGGGCAAATCTGGTTTTTGACTCTTGATGCAGGCAATTCTAAGGTTGGGAAGATATAAGAATTCTCTAGGGCTTCATTACTATTTGTTTTCCCAAATCAATACCTGGCTTTTTTTGCATCTTTAAAACATCACAAATAAGTCTGAGGAATCATCTGGCATCTTGCTGTTTCTACAGCTGAACAACTTAGATCTTATTCATCAGCCCTACTGAACTGTTCCTTTTTCAGAAACATAGACACCATCCAAAAATTTTCTGATGTTCTTTTTTTTTTAAGTGTTGTGGCTTACTGAATCAAAGCAACTCAATTTGATACAAATTCAGTACTGTTTCCTTTAAGACATCTTTCTGGACTTGAGATGCTGAACAAGCAATGCCTGAACTGATCTGAAACTGGCGAATGTATTTTTTTTAGCCCAAGAAATTTCTGATTTCAAGAGAACCATTCTTATAACAGAAGCCCAATGTAACACGCTTGGTCATGTTCTGTACATGACTGCAGATAGTGCGAACGGTGGCCAGTTCCTTTCTATTTCGCCACCATTTGTCAACCCAGAGCCTCTTCTTTTTCTCTCCAAGGAGACTGGGTTCTACATTGATGTGATTGAAGTCCCTCTGTAGGGTGCTTCTGGAGCCCTTCACAATAACTGTGTCCCTTCAGATGAAGTTGACAGTCTGATTGCTGAGATCCTCACAGTAGATGAAACAAAGGACTTCATTGCTATTTTAAAAGTAAGCTTCACAGGCCCCTCAAACACTCCAGTATTAACACTGATAATGTAGAGTGCTGGAATTAACTCAATATTGGTAGTGTGTACCCAGTTAGGGTGCCTGAATAATAGCTGGGAGAGGAAGGTAGAAAATGCTGAGTTAGGTTTCTTTCTCAGGCAGGGCCTGAGTGACAGCTGGGCAGGGCATGTCTGTGTCTTTCTCCTGCTGGAGTCCATTTTCAGGTTTAGGTTTACAAACAAGTATGACTTTATTTGGGTGGCACTGCAAAGGGCTGCTGTGACCCTCTGTTGTTGTCCACAGTCCTACCATCAGAAACTCAGAGATTTGAGCTTGTTCCATGGAAAAGTGTACATACTATTCAGAGCAATGGGTGCTAAGAGGAAAGGAGAGACGTAAGAAGTCAAGGGTAGAATTCTGGTTTCTTACCCTATGTCAACCATTACTTAGCAGGCCACTTTGTTCCTCTGGGCCTGTTTCCTTCTCTGAGTGACAAAGGATCCAGACTGAATAGTTCCTTAGTACTGTACAAGGTGAGGAACCCATCAATGAAACGTGCAGCTATTAGTAATTTTACCCTAATAGGGTCAATTCTTTAGGTCTTTCCATCCTGCTCTCTGCCTCAGCACAGGTTTGTTTTGTTGTTGTTATTGTTGTTGTTGTTTCTAGAAGGGAAGGGAGGGAGAGAAAAACATTGATTGGTTGCCTCCCATATGCACTCCAGCTGGAAACGAAACCACAACCTAGGTATGTGCCCTGACTGGGGATCGAATCTGTAACTTTTTGGTGTACAGGACAATGCTCCACCCAACTGAGCCACCCAGCCAGGGCTCAGCGCAGGTTGGGATGAGATGAAGATGGATAGAACAAGAGAGGTGTGCGTGTCCTTGGAAAGGGCTGTGGTGGAAGAGGAATGGGGACCCCATGGACAGTGGGAGGGGCTGAAGACAAATCGCTGACCTCATGCCCTATTGAGTGATGGCAGAGAGCTTAGTGGACACACACTAGGGTCACCTGATGTGACCCCACCCTATGATGTGCAAGCTTGCAGTGTCCTGGAACCTGATTGGCTATATTAGTATGAGTAGGAATGCATTGTTGGAACATGCAGATGGAAGAGATCCTCATCTACTCTTTGCTGTCACATAGGACATCTAGTTGTGTAATTTAGGTTTTGAAGTCTTTAAAGCTCTTTTATAGTTACTTAAGTAGAGGGGGGAAAAGATCTTAGACTGTACCTAAAAGGTAAAAAAAAAAAGTAGAAATCATGTGGCTATCAATCTTCCGTTTCAAGATTTTAACCTGCTTCTTTGCATCTTTGGCACACTGGATAAATGAAAGATGGTTCATGGATTTGTATCCCTACTCCAAAGAGTTACTGACTCACTACTGCCTAAGACAGAGTCAGGGGCAAGTTAAGGCAATTGTAGTTACTGTAATGGATAAATCCCAGTCTTAGCCACTTAACACAGTAGAAGTTTCATAAAGTATAAAGTGAATGTTCCTAATTGGTTGGCAGCTTTCCTCTGGGTGGTGACTCAGGGATCCTTCTATCCTGTGGCTCCATTATCTTCCACCTACAAGCCAAGATTGCTGTAGCAACAAGTCCAGTGCCCTCGGCCAGGCCTGGAGAGGGCACCAGTTTGTCTGGACACTCTCCAGTGGAACTGAGTCCTGACTGCTCTGGAGGCTGTGATTTGCCCAAAAAGAATGAGGAAATGTCTGGCCAACAGCTAGCCAGTGTTTGCCTTAGGTGGCAAACCATTTTCTGGGCACCTGTCCCATAGAGGTGCTTAATAAATCCTTAATGACCAACTCACTTGTCTCAGAGAAGGGGAAGCTAAAGCAAAGATGTTAGCTCAGATCCTTAGATGCTGAGAGAAGAGATAGGAGGTGACAAGTTTGAAAAGAACTGATTTAACTAAGTGAGCCTGAAATTCACATTTCTTGTGCTTAGAGACTGTCCTCTTAAACATGATCATTTTAAATAAGAAAGGGTCTTGGTTTAAGTGTGTGTGCAGGCATCTGTCATAGTTTCATGCCTTGGTCTTTGCACAGTATGAAAAGCTTACTAGATATTGTCTAAATCTAACTTTCCAGGAACTTTAATTCAGAAATCTTCCCAGGTTGTTGTCCAGGTGGATCCTCAGGTGGTCCAACAATAGTGGGAATCCAATGGTGGAATCCAAATGCTGAACCGACACAACTGCAGCTGGCTGCCTGCTGAGACAAACACGAAAGAAAGATTATGAGGATCAATGAGATTTTACTTATGCTTTGCCAGGAGAAGTGTTATTTACAGGATTTTTTTTTGTAGGATGTTGCAATTTACTGTGAAAAGCTATTTCAAATTTGCTGAGTGTAAATTTGGCTTCTGGTGTGAAATGATGAGGAGAGTGGAGCTTTGTAGATGAGGAAATGGGACATCTGGGCTTTTCAGGTACAGAATTGCAGAGAATTTCCTGCAATGAAAAATGCTTTCCACCTGTAACTTCAGCATCCCCCCTCCAGGGGCTGGCTTAGCTGCAGAGTTTGTAAATCCTGCCAGCTCTATTTTCATTGTGCTGTGGGATATATGTTTCCTAGAAATGAAAAAGATGTCTCTCCCCCATTTGAAATATGTGTACCCACATATGTATTTTTTCCTTCTTCCTGCCAATCATAGAGCAAACCTTTTTTCCTGTGCTGTGACCAAAAGAGGTATGTGAGTGCCAAGAAGAAGTGACTAAATAGAGCTGAAAGACGTGACTAAATAAAGCTGAAAGAAGTGACTAAATTTTCTCATAAGCTGAACTAAAATGAAATGAGTTTCATGCAGAATTTAGGAAATTGAAAGTCAAATGCAAAATCTAGATGTTAGTAAGAAGAATCTCCTTCCTCCCCAAACAGGTGTAGCAGGCAAGTAGAAGGCATGTTGAAAATAGCGAAGGGCTGGGCACTCTCCCTCTCGGGAGCATGCCCCTGCCTTTCCCAACCCCCTCTTCATCCTCCAGGCAGTTAGTTACCTTTACCTTTCTTTCTCCTGAGCTCCAAGTTGCCTCTGTAATCTGTTCCCTGAGTCCACAAGTCCCAACTGACTTATTTCTGCTACCTTCTGCCTCTGTAACTTTCTAAATAAACTTTGTCTTATAATTTGAAAAATAAAATAAAATAGTGAGTGACTGTAAAGAGTGTGCACACCTGGCCATGGCATTGCCATTCACTTCCTTGGCCATCTTAAATCTGAAAAACTCTCCAGTTTATTACCCATGTATTACTGGGCAGTTCTCTCCCTCCAACTCTACCTGCCCCTCCTCTGGAGGTGCTTCTGGATCTTCATGCAGTTCATGTATGAGTTTCATCAATAGCTGAGAAATAAGATCTCAATTTAGTGGAGCCATGTTGATAAAGCAGTATTACGGAACATCGGCTCTGCACCTAACATTTAATATTTTGCTTCTGTTTCTTTCTATGAAGCTACTACTACTACTACTACTACTGCTGCTGCTAATAATAATAATAAACATCACATAAGAAGCCAACACACTAGTGGAAAGAGTTCTAGCACAAGGTTTTGTTCCAGTCTCGCTGTTCA